TGTCACCATATTTATTACATTTCGGCCATTATATGCTCTGGCCTTCTTCAGGTGGTTGGAATGTCAAACTAAACCCTTTATTTTGCTCACTGGGGTAGACTGTTCTAGTTCCATGTGTCATGTTTAATGAATGTCAGTTATCAGTTATTTCCTGTTAATTCCCCTCTCCAAGTTCTCCACTGCCTTAACCAGGTATTGAACTCACAACTTTTTGGGTCCTGTCACTGGATCTAACCAAAGCCTAAATAAAGTTGGTTAGATCCAGTGACAGGACCCAAAGAGTGTGAGTTCAATACCTGGTGGACTTGGAGAGGGGAATTAACAGGAGATAACTGATAACGGACATCCATTAGACATGGCACATGGAACTAGAATAGCCCACTCCCAGTGAGCCAAAGGTTCAGTTCGTCATTCCAACCACTGAAGAAGGCCGGAGCATACAACGGCTGAAACGTTGTAATAAATATGGAGAAAAAGATGAGGACAATAGTCCGAATAATGTAAATAGTGTACATAATAACTCATCCCAGAAATATAGACACATCTTATTTTTGTTGCTCTATTCAAGTGTAGATGTTCAAAATTCTGACTGGCTATGATTTACTCAAAGTAGCCTTATTTTCAATGTATTGGTAAGAGTTTGTTCTTTTGTATTTAATGACATGTCAAGGGTGTTATATATAATGTCATGAAGGTTTATAACTTTTTGAGATATACATGTACATATATATTGATTGATTCATTTTCTACAGCTTATCAACATTTTGTGGGTTGTTTAAAGACAGAATTTTTTTTTTTCTTCAGATTGTAAGAATATATTTGGAGATAGTTTTACAGATACAAGTTCTACTAATTAACGTATAGCTTAGGTGAGAATTCATACCTTTCTCAATGTGTGTAATTGAATACAATGAACCTGACCGAAATTGGAACTCAGCGCTCTGATTTCCAATTCTGAGTTGTTACCCATTACACCACCCAAGCTTACAGCAGCTGGTATTCCCAAGAAGCAGTCATCCATCTAGGTACTGATCAGGCTTGACATTGCTTAACCAGTGATTGTATGAAAACCAACATTTCAACATTATTTGGCTGTCAATGACGACTGCATGAGAACCTCTGACAAGTACCCTAGAGTTAATAGCAAAGACAATAGACAGTAATTTCACAGGATCCTCTCAGAGTTGTTAAAAAAAAAAACCCCCAAAAAAACAAAAAAAAAACAAAGTATAGGGAGAATATCATGATTACCCTCAATCCTAATCTGAAGCAGAGAGGAAAGAGCAAGAGCAGAAAGAGGTTTGATAGGACGGAAAGACTGTATTAAGAGTGACATGGAGGTATTTAAGAAACAGTGGTGAACCATTCTGGGTTGCTTTCATGTCGTACGACTTTAAGCTTAATATAAAGAAAAAACAGGAAATCAAAGACTTTTGTCGGACATGAAATGATTGCCATATTTAATGATTGCCATATTTAATGATTGCCATATTTAATGATTGCCATATTTAATGATTGCCATATTTAATGATTGCCATATTTAATGATTGCCCATATTTAATATTTAATGATTGCCATATTTAATGATTGCCATATTTAATGATTGCCATATTTAATGATTGCCATATTTAATGATTGCCATATTTAATGATTGCCATATTTAATGATTGCCATATTTAATGATTGCCATATTTAATGATTGCCATATTTAATGATTGCCATATTTAACCACGTATAAAAAGTGTTCCAATAACTTGGACCAATTTTAAATGTGAATTAAGTTGAAGCATCTAATAACTTTTTTCTTTTTCTTTCAGATTTAACAACTTAAGTCTTTGGCAATTTCAACCATGTAAAGATTAACAATCAAACAACATGTTAAAGTTTCAAGAGTGCAATTGGAAAAACAGTTCATAAATTCAAACAAACTTTGTCGGTGGCAGATGTGAAAACACAGCTGCATTTAGGCTGTTCAGCTGAAAACATTGCTGAAGTGCATAAGAATGTGGTTGAAAATCCAGACCCCTATATTCGTCATCACATGCAGGAATTGAACCTCTCCACAACAACATTACATCATTTCCATTGGTTGATTATGTTGCCAAAAATCGAAGTGCATGAAATGCATTTCTGTTTGGACGTCCATTTTTGTTACAGGTTCTGATAACATTAACACATTTGATTGTTAATCTTTACATGGTTGAAATTGCCAAAGACTTAAGTTGTTAAATCTGAAAGAAAAAGAAAAAGTCATAAGATGCTTAAACTTAATACACATTTAAAATTGGTCCAAGTTATTGGAACACCTTTTCTAAGACTCCCATGCACTTCAGAAAGAAATATTAAGAAACAAAACATGTTAGATGTTACATTAAACATTATTGGAACCTTATCCATGTTCCCCATTTGACTCAGTTCAAAATGAGTTTCTTTTTCAAGTGCATTTTTATCAAATTCTAATATTTGGGGAAAAACTGCCATGACTTAACATCCAGGAAAGGTATGGTAAATCACACAGCAAACAGACTGTACATTGTATAGTTGTATGTCATACCAAGAACTTTATGAGGATGATCTGAGAAAATTTCATAGGCTAACTATGAAGGAGTGATGCTTGAGCTGTGAAATCTTGCATGCATTAATTTCAATCTTTCTTATTAATAACAGCATTGTTTCTTTTGGGATATGAGGGTGGGCTGAAAAATTCAAAGACTGACTATGAAGGAGTGATGCTATAGCTGTGAAATTTTGCATGCATTAATTTCAACTCTTCTTATTAATATCTGCACCATCTTTCCCAGTAAACTGACATCTGACTGTTCCAAAAAAAAAAAAAAAAAAAAAAAGACTCCACAAGTAACAAGTGGCAAATTCTCTTGAAAATGGACAAAATTTGGCATTGTGGTATTATCATGTACCTGCAGAAAAAGAGTTTAGCCCTCTAAAACATTTATGCTGACATGGTGGCTATATTAAGGGATGATGCCGCAGCAAAAGTAGGCAGCTAAAATTAGGAGGAGAAGGAAGACTTAAAGATGACCCAAGGTCTTGAGGTCCTATGACGTCCATCACTGAGATTGGTTGGTTGGCTGGTTTCTTTTACAGCATATCAACCTCAATGGGTTACTTAATGCTGACAAGATTTTTATTATTGGTAATATTTTGTTTTGCCAAAAATTTATTTCTGGTAATATTTTTCATCAAAAATGTAATGCTGGTAATAGTTTTTTTTCTTCAAAAATTTATTGCTGGAAATAACTTTTTTACAAAGTATTTCTCGTATTTAAAACCTGTTTTTACACTTTCATAGTGTTTTTACCCCAGTTTCGGGGTTAACTATTTGCTCATAGCTGGGACTCTAACAGGTGTTACCATCCTGTGTCAGGGCGGACCGGGGAACATCAGTAATTAATAGGTGGTTCGATGCTCCTCAAAACCTCCTGACTAGAGGCCTTGCTGTTGGATATAGTTTATCATCATACCCAGGATCGTCTATCACTGAGGGAAACATTGTTTTCACCACATGGTGATGGACGACAGACGATTGGCTATAAATCAAATGCTATTAGCATATTCTGTGAGAGAGTTGAGAATATTGTACACAATAAACTCAATGGGTTCCACATCTTCTGATACCTAATCAAAAGTGCACCAAACTTATCACATCATTGGAAAATCTAACATTGTCTGAAGCAGATCCAGCTGGTTTCCTTGAACGTTTTGTGTTGGTAAAGAAAAGAAAAAGCAAAAGAAAACAAATAATAAGTGTCAACTTCCGGTAGGAATAAGTCTGCAACAGATTTGTCTCTCAACCGCAACACTTGTAGCCAAAATCCAGTTCAACGACTGTCCAACGTAACAATCCAACAGGCCATGTAGAGACGGCAAAATTGGGTCACACACCCAGCCTTCGCTTCTTGCCAACAAGAACACCTCTGTCTCTCCCAAAAGACGGCTTGCTTTATACAGCCAAGGACCGACCATAATTTATATATGAATCACTAGCCAACGAGATTTCGTGTTAGTTGTCCGAGACCACCTGTCATAAAACATGGTCGCCGCCATTTTGATTCTTTTTTTGCCGTCAAGCAGCCGGACTTTACATGACGCACAGATTCGTGGACGTTTCCAAGGTAGGCCATTCTTTTCTTTCCTCGTTCGTCCAGTATTTCATTTTGCCAGGGACTGTTGTTACATTTGCGTAAGCGTCCACTATTCTGTTTACATATTACGCATACCACTCGTTGCCTCTTAGAATGGCGAACTGTAGTCAGTTCAGCAGAACCCACAGACTGCTGCCTTTCAGTTCCGCTACACGTTTCCTAATCCAAGATGAGTGTTAGGTTCATCACTTTGAACCAGAGACAAAAAGACAATCCATACCATGGAAACACCTCTCCTCACCTGTTCCAAAGAAGGCCAAGGTCGTTTTGTCTGCAGGAAAGGTGATGGCATCAGATTTTTGGGATGCGTTGTGTTTATCTTCAAAAGGGCCCACACCATCAGTGTTGAGTACTATTCCAACTTGCTGAGGCAGTTATGAAAACTATCAAAATCAAACACCCAGGAAAACTGATGAAAAGCGTCTTGTCTCACCAGGACAATGCTCCAGCACACATCCTTTGTTTCAATGGCTGTTGTGTGTGACTGTGGCTTTAAACTGGTTGATCACCATCCCTATTCTCCTGATTTGACTATCATCTGTTCCCCAACATGAAAAAACACTTGGCGAGGAACCAGTATTGCAGTGATGATGTCATATCTGCTGTTGACGACTTTTTTTGACCAACAAAATGAACAGTCTTCTTTGAACAGTCAGTTGTCAATTTACCTGAAAAGAAACAATGCCATTATTAATAAGAAGAGTTGAAATTAATGCATTCAAGATTTCGCGACTCTAGCATCACTCCTTCACAGTCAGTGTTTGAACTTTTCAGCACACCCTTGTACTTTCAAGCAAAGACAAGCATATGAATGTTATAAGAACAGATCGGACTTACCTATAGAGATATTTTCTGATGGCCCATTCTTTTGTAGAAGCTGATACAACAATCTCTCCAGATGAGTGGACAATGTAAGCATGAATGTTCCAGTTTGTTTTTTCAAACACTAATCTGCAAAGAAAAGAAATCTGGTTAGAATAAAACATATTATATCAAAAAGGATTCTTGAAAAAGGACAACAGATAAGCACTTAGAAAAGAGATTGATCAAGTGAGTTTTCTTTTATCATGGCTTCTGAATCCCTTGTGGGTTATTCAAAGCTATAACACATTTTGAATTGTACAATGTTGCTTAGAGTACTCACTATTTCCTAGCAGTCCCCATCTAAGTATTGACTGAGCTTGACATGAATGCTTTCAGCCTGATTTGACAGTAAGATTACAAAAGAGAAATAAAATGCAGTGAACACTGATAAAATAACATGGGCTGACTTTGGAAAGATTTTTAATAAGATTCCGTACATGTGTTGCTGCTCCCACCCTTCAAGGTTTTCAGGGAACATGTGAAATAGCCGTCAGGCATAGGTTAGTGAGGGTGTGTGCACTAATGCCCATTATCCGTTAAAGAAAACGTTTATGTAGCAAAAAAAGTTTATAGTTTTTTGCTGAAGTTTCTTTCTATTAGGCAGATAACCAAGCTGATTGTAGAGTTCTACCACCTGTTCAAAGGAGTATCAAAGCTGGTTAAATTGAAGGTGTCCAGGAAATTTTCAGGACTGTCTCTAACGAACTGATAGCCGATACAGTACACAATTAGCAAATGATTGATTTGTTTTTTATGGCTTATCAACCCTTTCTAAGTTATTTAAAGTTAGAAAATGTTAAAAAAACACATCTTCCTCCATGAATACTAGACTGAAAATGGAGGACTGCTGCCATACATGAGCAGGAACCGTACAGAGTTCACTTTCCAGTCTGGAGTCCAAAATCATCTCTGTGGCCTCGTAGGTCATTGATTATTTTTCACTGTACAACCCCTTTCCTACAGTTGAAACATTGCAAGCCTCTCGTTATTTCCATGGAAAGTGTCCAGATAAAACAAATTCCTTAGTTCCACCAGTTCTAACCATCACGGCTAAGACCTATGGGTTATTTAATGCTAAACTCAAAATATTTTGTACACAATTTTATTTTTGGAGATAATAATGTTTTCATGATACAAATCTTACTAATTAGCCCATATTTGGGGGGGATGAGGATAGAGGCGGTTTCAGTTCCTAAACTGCTTCTATGATTCCCTATCTACCACCTCTTATGGTTGGTTGGTTGATAGATTGATTTTGTTTAGTGGCATATCAATCTCTATGGGTTATTAAATGCTGAAATCTAAATATTATGTACGCAAGTTTTTTTTTTTAGATAATGGTTTTAGTGATACAAGTCTTACTAATTAACACATAGCTGGGGGAAGAGGTAGATGTATACCTTTCGCAAGGGTATTTGTGTGTAAGTTAATATAATGAACCTGACTCAGCTCTCCAATTAACAATTCCGAGCCATTATCCATTGCATCATCCGAACATCCAAATTTACAGCACCTGGTCACTTTTAGGTACTGACCAGACTTGATTTTACTTAACCTTGGTGATTGTATGAAAACGAATGTTTCAATGTGATGTGCCTGTAAGCAGATGAGGAAAATACAAGCAGCAGCAGAAATGCCATTCTACAGAAGGATGCCAAGAATCCCATGGACTGAACATGTGAACAATGAAGAAGTTTTAGAGAAAATGGAAACAAAAAGGACACTTAGAGTCAGAAAGAGGCAGTTGAAATTTCTAAGATACATAATGAGGAAAGAGGGCTTGGAAAATTTGACACACCTAGGACATACTGAAGCCAAGAAGGACAGAGTAAAGCAGCACATAACTTACCTAACAAGCTTGTGTAAATTGTTAGCAGAACAGGGATTAGGAAAGATAGAAAGACAACAAACTATGGCTACAAAGGACAAGAAATTATGGAGAGCCATTATCAATGTCCTGAATGGACATTGCACACAGAAGAAGATTTAGAAGCATTATACTGTTTGCCAGAATTTCATATTTTAAAAGAATTCCAAGTCTCAGTTTTATGCTGTAAAACAAATTATAACTACACTATTTACATCTTTGTCACCATATTTATTACAATGTTTCGGCCATTGTATGCTCCGGCCTTCTTCAGGTGGTTGGAATTTCGAACTGAACCCTTTATTTCGCTCACTGGGGTAGACTGTTCTAGTTTCACGTGCCATGTTTAATGGATGTCAGTTATCAGTTATCTCTTGTTAATTCCCCTCTCCAAGTTCTCCACTGCCTTAATTGGGTATTGAACTCACACTCTTTGGGTTCTGTCACTGGATCTAACAAATGTCTTTATCCACTGTGCCATGTGTCCATGAGGACTTCTGTGTATGAATTTCTGAGTATCATAAACCTAATGTCTCACCATCATTTTTTACCAGTGCTCATATTGCAATTTTTTTAACAGGAAATAACTGACATCCATTAAACATAGCACGCGTTCAGTTCGACATTCCAACCACCTGAAGAAGGCTGGAGCATACAGCGGCTGAAATGTAATAAATATGGTGACAAAGATGAGGACAATAGTCCAATTATTGTAAATAGTGTACATAATACCTCATCTTGGAAATATAGACAAATTATAACTAATTTCCAATTGGAGTAAGTGAAAAAATTATTGTATAAAAATAGAGAGAGCAACATACTTGTGGTAGTAGTCATTGCGGGGAGCCTGAAAACGCCAACCTTTCTGTTTCCTAGCAAGTCCCATGAACTCTAGAGACCTGAAAAATAACAATAGGTGAATAACTGTGGATAAATCTCTCTTAGAACAGACTTTTATACAAACAACTTTTTAATATTTTTTTCATGAAAACTTCAATAACCACACTATTTCAATCCAATGAATATAAAGTTTCTTTTTATGGTTAGGACTATATTGTCCAAATTCTATTATAATAAAGGTTCATAACCAATTTTCCAGCAGCTGATGGTCCAGCATAGCATTTAATCTGAACAAAATTATGAGCAAGCATTTGGAATCCAAGCAATGGCCAGATTAATTTCCCTGATGGCCACAGGTGGTATTGTATGTGGCATGAGTTTAATATAAGTTTCTAATACTCCATGATGCTCTAGAGATATGACAAATGCATAATTAGTGAGTTAGGGGTGTATCATTGAATTGTAATCGCATGACTGACTTATAATCCAACAAAACGGCTTGACTCTAGAACAGGATATAACCCATAATGGTAAAGATACAAGTTGCTGAAAAATCCTTGATCCACCCATGGAGTCTTTATGAAAAAAAATAAATAAAATAAAATAAAAAAAAAAGGTAATATTTAGTCAGATTTTGTGAACTGCTTCAGACTGACCATTTTTCAGCTCTCTCCCTCCCTTCCTCATATACTTACTTCCATTAAAACATTGACATATGGTAAAACACAAGTCATTAGTAAAAGTGTACCATCAATGTTTAGACAACTGATGGTCTGTTACTTCTTGATTTAGAATAAATTATGAACAAACATTTAAATTTTAGGTGATTACCAGATTAATTCATTGTATTGACTGTACCCATTTCTTGTGTGAAAAACAATTCTTACTGTGTAAACATTTTGCCTTTATTACTGTTGCTTTGCCTAGTTTTCACATTCATATATATTATATACATGTGTGTGTGTGTGTGCACAAATATATAGAAAAATAGGAAAGAACATGTTAGGTAAATAACCTGAAGTTCTTTAGTATTTTTGCTTTTATTTTAAAAAAAAACAGTGCTCAATACAAAAGTAGAGCCTATTTTAAAAAAATAATCATATATATATATATATATATATATATATATATATATATATATACAACCAAATATGTTAGCTCTATCTCTGATATTGAGCGCTTCCTAATAAGTACGCATATATATATATCTATATATACACACTCTTCACACATTATATATATATATATATATATAAAAAGCTCAAACACTAATATTCCATGGTTATAATTTATTACATTGGAATTGTAATCACAATCCAATTCATCAAACCTGTTTTGTACATTGAACTCTACCTGTATTCTATCCTCTTGAAAAAATATATATATATATATATATAAGCAAGTGTAAATGGATATAAATCCGACAGAATGAAGAAATTTTGAAAAAAACAAACAAAAATCCTTAAATGTAGTTAAAATGAAAAAAAATGTCGACGTCTGACGTTTTGGTTTAATAAATTTTTTTCAAGACAATATTCATCAAAATACAATTCAGTTCAATATGACAAATACGATGGACATAAAACACAAGTCTTATTCAGAACAGATAACTGAAAATTTTTAAAAATTGTATTTTGATGAATATTGTCTTGAAAAAGGTTTATTAAACCGAAACGTCAGACGTTGACATTTCTTTCATTTTAACTACATTTAAGGATTTTTGTTTGTTTTTTCAAAATTTCTTCATATATATATATATATATACACACACACACAAGTTTTGTTAAAAACGACTGACAATGTACTGCAATTAAGCTTTTTTATTTAATTTTTGTTGTGTCAATACAAGCGTTTTCTTTTCTAGACATAAAGTGTATAAAAAAACTGTCCCAAAAGTTCTACATATTGACCATTCTTTTAGCCATTATCAAGGAAAATTTTTATTTTTATTTTTTACTTTTAACTGAATATGTGGGTTTTTTATGTATGTGTCTTAAGTTATAAGAATATTTTATTTTACAAACACAATCAGCACATTGTTGCAATGTTCATAGTTAATGTCATTGAGTGATGGCTTTCCCTTTTTTTATTATTATCAGTGATTTCATTATTTTGAATCTTTTTTTTTTTTTTTTTACATGTGGATGAGGCAATTATACTTGCATCTTCTACTAGGATGTTGCAGATGTAGTTTGGTAGGTTTCCGTGTGTATTTAAGTGTCCTAATTGAGCCATGGCCGGGTAGATGCAATGTGAGTAGTCTATATAGGCATGCGGTGGTATGAACAATTCTTTGAGTTTAATCAGGAACACAGTTCCTAAATTTTCTCTTAGAAATATCATAAACAAATACACAACCCCAGTCAACCAAAACAAGAAAATTAAATTATCTACAAGAAAAAATTTAAAACAGCAAACCAACCTTATCAAGAATAACAACACACCTGCAAAATGAAAATTACAGAGAGAACCAATATTAATTCTGAGTTCAAATGTTCCTTAAGAAACTGTATGATCAAACCAATATATTGCTTGTTTAATATTATTTTGCCCTGTTCGTTTTTCTTCCTTTTGTTATTGTTTATTAGAAACTTTGCCAATTCTGTTCGTTGGGCATTTTTGTAGATTATACTTAACCACAACCAATTACTCCATATGCATTTAGTAAAGAATAATATTTACCTTGGATTACGATTATAGAACATTGGATTCACGATATAATTATGGTTTGTTCCTTTTTTTTCATCAGACATGCAACAAGCTGTGGTTGACAGGCAGGCAACTAAAAAAAGAAAAAAAAAATTTAAATGAAGACAGAAGAATCTAGAACAGGAACTTCCAAATGTTTGATACCATCAACCCCTTTATAGAATTCTTGAACCGTCATCAACCACCAAGCAGATACAAAAATATCAATAATAATAATAATAATTTTTTATTTAAGAGTAAAAATTTCTTTTTCTTCATTGTTTATCAATAAGATTCATTTTTAACTTTATGTTTTGTTATTTTCAATTTGTAATTCACTTCATGAGACGTTTTTATTCAGATAATAATAAAAATAATGATGATGAGAAAAAATTCACAAATAATATAAATAATAATAAACACATTAAAAATAAATTAAGAGACCTTTTTATTGAATTGGTTGATATGATTAATAGGAATGTGGTGGTGGATGAATAGTAGCAAGGATACTGATTAACTGGATAGAAATTGGTTCAGTTTAGTTGGAAGTCACCATGATTTATTGACAGTCTTTTAACCTTTATCAACACTTTTTCAACATGCCAGGCATTTATTGATGCCATTTCGATACACCAGTCATTTATTAACACTCTTTTGACACACCAGACAGTTATAGATGCCATTTTGACATGCAAGACACTTATGGACCTTTTTTTTTTTTCTCAAGACCCTAGGCATTTAATGACACAGTTTTACATTTATCAGCACCCTGAATATTCCAATTGTGCCCCAAATCCAATTGGGGATGCATGATCCAAAGTTTTTAAGGATTCTGAGATCATACAGACCATGCTTAATATTTTTTTTATTTTTGATATTTTTTTATTAGAAGTTAAAATAAGACAGACATCTTTTGAGACACCAGGCATTTATCAACACACTTGATAACCCATTATACTCCAGGCCCACTGGGGGACTGATGATCTACAAGACAACGAAAAAATTCTTTGCCATTTTTTATTTATTCGAAAAAAAGAAAAAGGTATACAGCAAATTTAACATACCGTTATTCCTCAAAGTAATCCCCATTGACATCCAGAAACGTTTGCCAAGTTTGCCATTGCTCAAGCAGTAAAAATCAGAAATGTCTGTGAGTCCCTGCTGCAAGTCTGCCTCATTTGCAAAGGATTTCCCAGAAAGGTGCTTGTCCAGGTAATGGAAAAGGTGGTAATCTGTTGCCACGAGGCCAAGGGAGTAAAGGTGGATGTCACAGTGCCTCCTATACAAGTCACTGTATGTTATTCCTGGCCACTCACGCAACAGGAGGTTTAGCATTGTCATGGAGGAACAGTACACCCATGTGATTAACCAATGCTGTCGCCAGTGCCTGTTGCACACATTCCAACTGCAAGTACAGATCTGCAGTGATTGTTTTGCCCATTGGTAGCAGTACATAGTGCACCACTTGTCAACTAGTCTGCTAGATACAGAGGATGATCTTGCTTGAGTGTAAATTCCTTACTACAAATGAAATACAGTTAAAAATTGCAAATCATTTAACGAGACACTTGTTTCTACTTATTGTTCAATAACTTCTCCATATCAGGTGAAATATTTGTCGATGACAAGGGTAACATCATCCAGGTGGTTGTCAAGCAACCTTGTTCTTAAATGACTTTTAGTATATTTCATTTTCGCAGAAGGTTGTTTACAAGCATATGTATTTCCGAATAAGGTTACCATCATTTGTGTATTATTCAATAGACTTTTATATTTTCTGCTTGGCAAAACATATTTCTTGTAGAAGTCAGCAGTGGATTCAGAATTAATTATTGATTTCAAAATATCGTCTCATTGTAAGTCAGCTAACTCCAACTGATATCTTTCTGCCACTTGCTCAACGTCTGTTTTGTAAGGAGTAGTAAATAATTTAAATAGATTTCCATATCGTGAGAAGTCAGTGAAACTTTGAGGAAAGCTCACTTCTCAAATTCTGAATAGAAATCACAAAGATGTCTGCTATTGTGTCTTGTGATTTTGAACATTTGGAAGATGAGAGTAGTTAATACTGAACATTATCATAAAAAATTAAATAAACAACAATTATTATTATTGAATACAGATGTGACATGAATTGTTACTGGCAAATAATTATAAGGCTTTTTTGATAGCAAGAATGATATACTAATAAACAGTCATGAGAAATAGCAAAAATTTTATTTCTCAGAAAGCCGAAATTTCTAAAAGAACCAGGATGTGATATTATTTGTCACTGGTAAATAATAAGGCTTTTTGGATAGTAAGAACGATATACTAATAGACTATCAAGAAAAATACTGAAGATTTTAATTCTCAGAAAGCTGAAATTTCTGAAAGAACCAGGTGGCCAGTTAAAAAAAAAAACAAAACTCTTAATTTTTACAACAGGGACATATAGCGATATTTTGACAAATGATTAATGTCCACCACCATAAGTGCTGGTCATGGAACCAGAAGTGGAAAGAATTGGATAAGATTTGAAATCACAATTCAGAGATAAAGGTTTCCTGGGAGAATGTTGCTGATGGGAAAGGCTATGTGGTCTGTATCTGATTTTGGATGAGAAAAATATAAACCCGGTATGGGGAATTTTTCTGTGGAGATGACAGGCTTGAAATAAGAATTCCTTGACTTAATCTTTATGACAGAGACATCTAGAAATATTTTGACATTAGATGGATGATTGCCACAATGAGTACTAGCTATGAAACCAGAAGCAGAGAAAATCAGATATTTTAAAAACATAATTCGGAGATAAAGGTTTTTTCTTTGGAGAATGTCTCTGATGGAAGGGAGAGCCATATATTTTGTGTTCAACTTTAAGACAAGGAAAAATCAACACTGATGTCCGAGGATTTTCTCGTAAGATGATAAGCTTGGTATAATAATTGTTTTAATTAATGAATTTGGAATGTGTCTTTGCTGGGTGGCTGAGGTGGCAGGTACAGATGAGACACCAAGGAAGGTGGAGGATCTGACCACGCCCATGGAGGAGTATTTGTGGGAGATACTAAGAAGAGAAAGAAGTTTTGGGGTGGATTAATGCCTATGACCGTCACCTGAGAAAAGGCAAAAACTTCAAAATTAGAAAGTAATTAATTCCCAGAACCCAGACAATGGAGAAGGGGTTCTTTATGACAGGTAGAGAAAATGCTAGATACTCTGCACTCCCATGCCAGTTTTGGGTAAGTGTCAATAAATATGAATGCCTAGAGACAAGAAGACAGATCTTTCCAGTCATTGGACACAAGACACTCCATGTGACTGCCTACAAGTTATAGCTGCCAACATCAGCCTTGTGCCAAACTTCATCAAGTCAGCAAAACAAACTTTACCAACAATGTGTTGCATGTGACTTAAGAAACAGGTTGGATCGATAAACACCTGCATGCAAATTCCTAGACTCTAACAACAATTAACCAACATTGTACAAAGGACTTGATATAAAAATAGTATATATATTTTTATATTATTCGAGTTATTTTTCTTTTGTTTTCTTGTGCGTCCAATATGAAGATACTTACAATAATTCGATCTTGGACCTCCTTATGATCAAATCAAATCGCAACATGGGATAAGGCAGGTCCGGGATCTAAGCGATCACTTTATTAATCACCTGAAGTATTGGACGTCTTGGACGACTGGGGAGAGTTGAGAGCTGTTGGAGTTAGCTCCTCCTTAATTCCCTAATTGTTCACTAGGGGTCGCTCTGCCTACATTATAAATACTGGGCGACTTCTTGCCTTGTTCTTTTTTTTTCCCTTTGCATTTCAGCGGACACATTTAAAAATGTGATCTCTTGCATAGATCCGTGTTTTTGCCCACTTGTGGGAAAACGCCATGAAACACACATACATGTACTTATGAACATTCACCAAAATACTAACTTTTTATGTTCACACACAAAGACAAATGTCAGTGTCTTTGTTCCTTGTAAATTTGTTGTTTAATACATATATTTGTTGACATATATATATATATATATATATATAAAATCAGTCTTGTTCGTTTTCTTTACATCTTCGGTTGGACTCAACTTGAGTCCGCATTGTTCTTGTAGTTGGACCTTCTAGCAGGAATAAACAGCACATGTCCCTAATTCAACAACACTCAAACCCACACAGTCCTTTACAGAGTGACACAGATACCTAGTTGTTTTATGCCAGAGAACAAATACAAAGGAAAAACTCTGAGGATTGAAACATTAAAATTTTTCTCTTAAAACAATTTTTCAGGAAAATAGCTTTCAAGTTAAGTAGCTGTTATCAGTCTTTCCAGTATTGATTGGGAGGGGATCCTTCCTAATCTTTTATTTGAAGTAGTGTTGAACATTAACATCTTGATTATGTCATTATATTTTTTAGAGTTATATCCGATGAATAATATAGCTCACAAAAGAAGAGAAAAAAATTATGTTCATGTGTACGCAGATAGTTAAAGTTCATAAAAAGAAAGAAAAATATTTAGAGTTTTAACTGTTGTGTGTGTGTCAGAGAGATACACCATGTGGTTGTGGGAAATTAAGTGGTTGGTTTGCCTAGGGAAAGAAATCTTTCTCAGCTGGGAGGATCTAGGCAGGAGCACAGCATGCTAACAAAGTGTGCATAGTTCTACATTTTTGTGAGAGTAAGACCTGTGAAACATTTCTTTATCAAAACAATATGTTGGTTTGCTTTCTTGCAAATTTCACTGATGTTTTAGATCAGCATTTCTCAACCATTTTGCCTTAGAATCCTGCATAAAAATTCTTATATAAGCATTATTAATATCTATCTCTCATATTTTTATCATAGTTCATGTGGTAAACATAATGTATGGACACTGTGCATACATCCTATACTCAAGCGAGTTACTCAATGATACACAAATCCACCATGTACAGGTCCTGTCCCGAAGCACCGAAGGCAGTTTTACACTGACATGATATAGACATCGCTAAATACATTTATTGTTGAAATGGCTAGATGTAACTGTAAGTTCTATGCTAACAGTTTCTTCTATCACACTTCTCACTTGTGGAACTTTCTTCTGGCTTCTTATTTTCAAGTCAACTTTAATGATTAAAAATTTAAATGCAATGTCAATTGTTATCTTCTATCTTTTTAATCCTTGTTCTTTTATTGTCCTCTCTCCTTAATAGTATTTTTTCTCATATTACCTCACACTCTTTAACTGTTTGTGTCTTAGTGGCTTCACTGCTTTGCTTGTTGTGAAATGGTTAAAAATATATTCCCTATGATTATTATAATTTTAAATAATATAAAATGTTGAAGCTATTATTATAATAACCAAGGATTTTCCAATAATATACTGTGTAGCAAAATTACAAATACAGTGGACTGCAAAAGTAGGTATATTGTATGTTTTTGATATGTTTCGATAATGTTTATTAATTTATATAAAATTAAAAATTACTCAAAAATGCATTAGCCTATTTATTACTGTTTCTCATGACACCCCAGGTTTCCAATGTACATAAGTTCAGAAACACTGGTTTAAATAGTAAGTGGGTGTTTGCCATGTAAATTTGAAGATCTTTTTGATTTTCCAGTTCATCAAGTGCAACTCCATTTTTAAAGTGTAATAATATGATGTTCCACTTTCGTTTTCAAAACAACAAATTTTCCAGCATTGAAATCTAATAGTTGAGTGTTTGACCAAAGCCAGAGTTTGTTCCAATCACTTTGTCACAACTTACAGTCATCTCTGTTTCTTATTGAATTGTGCAATTTATTAATAATAGCAAATTTAGGTCCCAGTATTTTTCATCATGTGTGAAAAAAAAACAAAAAAAAAAACACACCTACTTTCTGCCTCCTGTTGATAACTGACTAATGAATGAGTGCATTGTAAAATATTTGTGTTGGATGTTCAAAGTTTTAAATTTTTATGGTCAAAATAATTTACGCTGTTCAAACAGCATTTTTCAACTGCTGCGTGCGGGGACACTACTGTGTCCTGAAAACTAGCCAGGTGCGCCCAAAGTTAACAGAGGAGTAATTAAAAAAATTATTTTAAAAAGCTTCCATGTCTAAATCAAGTTTTTGTCATTTGATATTTTAAACTGGATGCTAAATTGGATGCTTTAAGAAGGAGTGGATAATCCTTTCCTTTGCCTTCTTCAAGGCATAAGGAAGGCCAGAAAATTCAAAAAAATTGTCAATAAAGTTAAAAGTATGTTTCACAAAAAGTAAATGTTTTAAAAATAAACGCTTATTTCAGGAGACTTCTTTATTTTCAAATTTCATGACTAATTTTTCCTTATTCAAATTTAAAGTGATTTTACAAATGCGACCTGTAGTAAAAAAAAAAGAGGTGAAAAACACTGTATAGAACGACTCTTTTAGTGTATATTTTAATTTTTAACAAATGAGCAAAAAACAATGATTAAAACGGGTATAAAAAAATAAACAGTAGGATAAACAATACGGCATTGTCTTTAAAATGCCATCATAATAGCAATTATTTTAACGACGAAGAACTTCAAAATAAATAAAAAACTGAGGTTTCGTTTAAAAAACTAGTGTTTCAGTTTTCCATTGGCTTCGCTGAAAGAAAGAATTTACTAAATTGAAAAAAATAACAGTCCGGAAACATTTCCCGAAAAGAAACTTATTTAATTTGGATAAAATACATCACCTTGTCTCTCAATCTGTGGAATAAATCGCTCTTGAATAATTGTTTTTCCATGTTTTTGAAATGTCGATGATATTGACCTTAAAGCTGTAGCCATGATTTTCTTCAAAGCGGTGGGGGTAATAGTAAAAATAGGAATTTTAATAAGTCATCAGAAAAGGAACGAAATTATTTTATCTTTTATTGTTATTTAACTTGAGATTTTATTATTTTTAAAAAATATTCTTCAAATTTTTATTTGTCAAAGCAAAATTGGTAAAAATTATTTTAAATTAGAAAATATTTAATTCGCATTAAATTTAGTGTGTTGAAGTATTTATTCACATATTTAACCAAAAATTAACCGATTCAACAAACCAATCAGTAAATTAATAATATAATTTATATTCTAAAACTTCTAAAATAAAAACAATTCAATTTAAAATTTACTTTTAGGTTTAAATTTTTAGCCGGTGTTCATTTTTCAAAGTCACCTATTTAAATAATATCCAGATAACACGCATCTGATTTTCCTAACCAACTTAAAAAAGCGAATCACCGGTTTTGTTATAAATTATAAAACTGAGATTAAAAAATCTTTCTTTAAAACCGAAATGGTTAAAAATTGGCCATATAATTTATGTTTTAAGTTAAATATTTCAAACATAAACTTTATCCGCCGCCTAACCACGTGACAGAGAAGCGAAGAAGATGGCGTCGGCTATTAGCATTCCTCGACGTTTGCCACTTCTAATTGCTGATAATGTCCTTTTACCGGGATCTTCAATGCGCATTTTGGTGCGAAGCCTGCAAAAGTAAGTAATATTCTGGAATTTAGTCTTGGTAGTAGAACTATATTGACTTATAAGTTATTTTTTATTTGAAACGTGCAGCCGGGATCAGCGACAATTTTCATTTGTTTTGTTTTCGTATCGGGTTTTGTAAATATTTTGGTTATTTTTTTGTGACAAAACTATAAAAGTAAACCTGAGTTAAAACAATTTTGTATTTACTTGATAATTTGCTCAGAGACCGGTTTTAAACATTTTTCGATCGATGGCTACACTTCTCGGAACTTTTCATTAACTACGTATTATTTTTTTTTAGAGAAACCATCTCTTTCATTGTCGTATAAGTTTGTTAACTGTGCGTATGTGGCACTTACTACAGGTGTGATTAAAACTGTTTTTATTTTTGATGATGGGAGGGAAGGAAAAATGATAGAAAATCTGTTCTAAGATTTATTTATTGAAACTTAAAAGGCGTCTTTTTTTAACAGTCGTGTAATAATTGAAAAAAAAAAAAAAAAAGTAAATCTGAGCGCTCACTTGTTCCTTGTCCACGACTAGAAAAAAATTTGAGACCTTGTGAAATAGAACAAATTAATTACCTGGAATAATATTTTCTTTTTATTTGCACCTGAACGTACTTTTTTTTTTTCTTTTCCGTAAAAACATTGTAATGTAAATCAAACAAACTACTACTTATTTTTTTTTCGTTTTGCTGAGAGTTGTCATTCACTTCGTTTGTAAGCATAAAGTTTTAAACAAATTTTGTAAAAATTCAGGACTTAAAGAAATAGACACGTATTTCCGATCAGTTTTTTTTATAAGGGAAATGAATAAAAAAAATACACTCAAAAAGTTAAAGAAAACTAGAAATTTTTTTTTAGCATAATGTAACCAAATAATTGTTAACCTGCGAATGGTAAAAAATTCTAAGCACGCTAATCCCGCTAAAAAAACATTGTAGCGTATTGAGTTTGATCCTCACACGGTGTCCCTCAAGTTTGTCAGACTTAGCAACGCTTTGTAAGTAAATATTGTTGTTAATGCTAACGAAGGTCTAACGAAATTTTAAATAATTTCTGGGATGAGGAGTTATTATTTACACAGTACATTGTTTACATGCGAACTCTTGTGCCTCCTCTTTCTTGTTTCTATCACAATTTTTCGGTTATTGTGCCATCCGAGTTTCATCAGGTGTATGTTGATCCGGGTAGGGAATTTGAACTGAACCCTCCTCTTTGTTGTTGTTAAATATCATAACGTTGTGTCCTCTGGCCTCCATGTCAATCCACTGAGGTAACCTACAAGGAATTATGAACAGAATCAGAAATCTTGAATTAAAAATGTTATTGTATTTTATGTTTCATCAACTTTATTATTTTCATTCTAGATAGGATTCCATGTGAATAAAAAAAGACAAATTTGAGGTTATCCTTTCCTTTTTGAAAACTAAAGATAAGTTTGATATCGTGACCTTATTTTTTCTGTTTTCATTGCTAGTTGTGTAACTTCTCATAACCTCTGCTTATCTACACGACACCTCATTCACACGATAGGAATCATTTTTTAAAAGAATTTAAGTACCTCGGGTATTTTAAAGATTTTCATTTTTTTTTTTAAGATTTCAAAGTACCTTCTCAGTACATAGAATTCTTTTTTAAAAAATGAAAAATCTTTATTGAAGCCTTAATTTTAGTTTTAATTTCAAACTAAAAGAGATTCAATTTAAGCAAAAAAAAAAAAAAAAAAATTGTATTTTATTCATTGGAATAATTTTTCCTGATTAAGAGAAAAGAAAGCGTATAAAGATTAAAATCGTCCATATTGATAAATGCTATCGGCATAATTCTCTTTATAAAAAATCTTTAAAAAATAAAATATACTTTCCTGAAATGTTATTTGAGAAAAATTAACTTATTTAAAGTTTAATTTGTATCGAAAAATATTACTTTTTTAGTTTAAAATATGGTAGAAAAGCATCTTTCTTTTAGCATGGAGTGGGTGTCTTTATAAGGCGTTTTTTTTGTTTTATCAACAGCCTGATGTTTGGGAAATTTATGTAAGAGTTACATAACTGTAAAAACTACCTGAAGAATAGAACATAAATTCTTGTGTCATATATTTTTTAACTAATCAGTAATCTTAAGAATTTAAGAAAATATTCAAAGCAATCTAATATTTTATTGAATTTTAGGTACTTTGGTTTTATAGCCTAACTTACAAAGACACTTGTTGAGGAAATGTTAGAAAATTACAAGTAGATTTTAAATTTACTATAGTTACTGCTCTTACTTTCTGATTATGTTGCATATGGATGTCTATATTTACAAAAATCGACACGTTTATAAACACATAAAATAAATTCCTTTTAAAATATTGGGGGTCATTGAATTGTAGTGAACTTTTCCATTTATGATTATTAGTAAATACATTTTAAATTTAATAACAATATCACTTGATTGATGCAAATGAATACAGAATTTTAAGATTTAAAAGTTTATAAATTATTCTAATTAAAATTAAAAAAAACATTCTTGCAAAAATTTAGTGAATAGTTATTTTTTTTTTTTTTTTTTTTTAAAGAGTGTCTATAATATATTTTATTAAAAACTTTTCTAATTAAATGATGTCTTAGTTTATTGCATTTTTTATTTTATGATTCAGAACAGATTTTCTGTAACTGGTGGTCCTGTTTGACACAAAAAAATTGATTTAAATTCTCTGAGGACTTGTCCATACAACTAATATAAACATTAAATGATACAACAAAAAGTCTCAAAATTTCATAAAATTAAATGAGGAGGGGTGATATCAGATGTAAATAAAAAATGTTTCCAAAAATTTTCTAAAAATGTCTTAGAAATAATTTCTCTTCTGAATAAGTCCTGAATGTTTCATTAAAGTCTGACAATTATTTGATTTTTGCAAGATTTTCCGAATGAATTTGTTTTTCACTGGAAAAAGATGTTAGATATTTCTTGTACAAATTTATGATCCCATATTGATGGCCAGAGAAAAAAGATGCTTAGCCAAAATTTCCAAGGTTCTAAAAAGGATAAAAACAATTTTACATAAAAAAATATCTTAAGTTTTTATTCACATAAAAAAAAAAAAAATACAATAAAAAAAACTTAACATAAATACTTTTAATGAAACATTTATGAGAGGGATTGCTGCCAAAATAAGCAACTAATATGTCTACAGTGTGAAGCAGAAATACTTCCCATATTTTAAAGATTGACAAAAAAAAAAGATAACTGCTATTAAAAAAATTATTTCACTGCTGTTTGAACAAAGGGTGACAGATTTTATTCATTTGTTTTAAAAATTACATTCTTCAAATGATTACCTCTGTAACAAACATGTGTGGAAGCGTCCTCGAACTGCGTGTATGTGTTGTCGCCGGGCACACATTGGAGTACCATAATGGACTTGACCGAGGACTACAAGAAGAAGATGCGCAAGTCGTTTGGCATCTTTTCTTGGGCGACAAAAGCCGTTGCGGTTGGTCATCCATCGGCAGCAGTCTTGGGTGCCGTTTTGCTCATTTGCTGTCATAAAGTGCTCGTTCGGAAGAGAAGGCGTTCGTTTCAGGTTTACAAGAAGGCGTTCGTTTTTGTGTAAAGAAGTTGTCCCCCCCCGTTTTCTCGCACAACCTCTATTGCCACTCACTGTTGTAAACAGTTTCTAAAGTTTTCCACCTCTTGGAAGTACTCTGAGGTTTTCCAGGTGGCTTTCTTTTAAGCACTGAATCTGTGGCCCTGAAATTTTGAAGCAGTATTGATTTTCTTTCTGGAACAACCTCATTCCAACATGACATGAAAAGCTCTTTGTGTTGCTATTAAATTTCACCAATTTAAAAAAAAAAAAAAAGTTTCAACAGCAAATGTATGGTGTACTCTGGTCCAAGCCATGATATCTAAAAAAAAAAAAATGCTAAGACATTAGTGAGATGAAGACACCATTGTCACTTGTCTAAGTTCACTAGCACCACGCAGATGACAGTTTAAAATGTAGGAGATATTTCTGCTGCACACTGTATATGGGGTGTGAGTAAATATGTCAGTGGCAAGTTTATGGTTTGCAAAAACTTTAGGAAGAATTTTTTTTTTTTTTTTTCACTGAATTTTTTGATTCTCTTTTTTTTCCCATTGAATTTTGAAGAAACAGCTTAAGAAAAGAACCTGTGTAACTATAACCCAAAATTTCAGGGACTATGACATAAAATATTACCCTAACACTTAGCTTTTATCATCTCCTTTGAATAAGTCCAATTATGAGTTTGAGTGCATTTGTTTTTGTTGTTGTTTTTTTTAAGATTACATTCCAAATTGAAATTTAAATTCTAGTATATATATATATATATATATATATATATATATATATATATATAATATGTGGGGCAGTTCAATTTATGTTACAATGAATCATTCATACAAAAAGTAGATCAGTAAAGTTAATGATATAAAATGGTGAAATCCTTTCACAAACAAAATTTTAAAGTTGCATTAACCTACAAATCACTCAATGAATATTATGATCCTTTGTTTTTAATAATTATAAGCTATATAAGGTCTTTTTTTAATAACCAAGTACTTTCAACTGTATATTCAGTCATCCTCAGGCAAATTTTCAGGATAACAACTGAGACATTGCTCTATTGAACAATTTAGTTTATGCCACATTGACTGATAAACTCCTACAACAAAAAAATTCTCAAATTGCCATATTAGTAAAAAATGTACTCTCTTAAATTTAAAAAAAATTCAACCATAGTGTTGTGACTGCACACTCCAAAAGTTTGTATCCATTAACTATAACACATTTCAAAAAAACATATTTCGATTCACATTTAATTTTTTTGTCTCGGATGCTACCTGGATTTTACTAAAAACAAAGTAATTTTCCTGGCTGAGGATGACTGAATTGTCCATTTGTTAGATTAAGCTCTGTATCTTAGAAATGATTAAAAATATCTTACTGGAATTCTTCATGGTTTTTATAACACTATTGGACTCTACTTTGAGCAATAAAAATGTATAATTACTCTCCAAGCTTAACAGAAGAATTCTGATGAAATTGATCATAAACGAAAATGACATGTTCATCATTAATTAATCATAGCTAAGTTGGAAGCTGATGAAGGATTGAAATAAATATTCATATATATATATATATATATATATATATATATATATATAGAGGATCATTTTCAACTTATTCAAGATGATCTTCACCCTCACTAACCCCCAGAACTTCCTGTTCTGAAGTAAGAAGGTGCCTCACAGGTTTCAAGTACGATTTCATTTTCAAGTCTTTTTTTTCACTGTCCTTTGTATTGTTTTCGCTGAAATTTCTCTCTCAAGTATCAAACGTCTTATGGTTTGTGTTGGATCTTTTCTAATTGATCTCTTTAGCTCTAAGTTGAAATGAGGATCCCTCTTCCTGGTGTGACCTCTGGATCCACTTTTCCTCTTTAATATTCCCTCTTTTTTTTTAAACTTATTCACTGTTCTTTTGATGGTTCTTGAATGAACTTTGAAGATGGAAGCCAGAGTATGAATGCTACTACCATTGCAGAAGGCATGAGTGATCTTTTTCCTCTCAACATTGCTCTGTTGGTAAAATATAGTGGGGCTGACACAAAATGATTTTAACCTGTTCTCTTTCTAGTTGAATAATTCAAAGGATTTTTCAGTGATCCTTATGACAAATCGTGTCAAGATAGCTAAATGTCTTATCTGAAAACCTGGAAAAAAAAAAAAAAAGAAACTCAATTAGTTTATTTTTATTTTTTTTATATTTTTTTTTTTTTTTTTTTTTTAGATATTAAACATTTTGTAGGATGGACAATTATGCTGTTACACGATTTGGGCTGTTACACCTGGTATATTAAAAAAGAAAGGAGAAAAAGAAGCATTTTGTGATCAGGCATCTAAACATGGTTGCTTGAAGCCTGTTGGCAAATTCTTTCCTTGTTTCTCTTTGTTTTTTTTTTTTTCTATTAATTGTGATTTGCTGATGTTTTTTAGATAATAAATTAATCCAATTCTTTTAATTCATCTTATGGACATTGAAGTCGCCAAAAAGATTTTTGTCAGGTTTCACCATTATAGCATTATTTTGTAACTTAAGAGTTACAATGGGCACATTGGCATGAGGCAATGGTTAACGAGGCTAATCTGGTTGCCCATTACTACTGAGTAGTGATTTTAGTATTTACCAGGTTGGTATACTAGTAGGTAATTATATTTTTTGGATGATATCAATGCGCTAAAATTATTTGAAATAATGAAAACTAAATGTAACACTTTTTGAATTTTTTTTATTACATTTTAAAAAGGCAGACATGTAAATTTGTAACAGAAACTTAACGTATTCCTGTGCTAAGAAAAATATTTTTAATTTTATTTTTTTTTTTAAAGCACCTTTCAAATTTACAAGAATTTATTTATTTATTTATTTATTTTTTTTTTTACTTTCTTTAAAAAAAAAACCTCTATTTATTTCATGTCTAAAATGAAATTTTCATAGAAATTCAAATACATGTATTTTTTCTTGGGAAATTAGTTTTTTACAGTTTTTCTCTACATGTAATTCTGTTTAGTCTCCAAGGGGGCTATGAAAAGTTCTTTCTTTCCTGGTGTTTTTGCCAAAATCTGACCAAACATCATTTTTTTGTTTTTAATCCTTTCTTGTTGAGGATGAGAATTTTTCAGCACCTTACATTATATACAAACAGAATTTGCACCAGAAAGTCATTTAATCTCTGAACTCAAATTTTTTAATTTTTTTTTTTTTTTTATGTGTTTTAGATGATCAGGTTGTGTTTATCTATACACTTCTCATCAGTGACTTGATGCACAGCAAATCAAAATCAGTCAAATAAATTTTGACAAGCAATACAAAAATAAAGTTGACAGATGTTTTATTATCAAAGGACATTATCATAAAATGTCACCTTCAGAAATGAATGGGCTTTATGACCTGCTTCAGTATGGGTTTCTGGACTTCATGACCTTCTTATATAACCAAATTAGAAAATATCTAATTTTTCAATATTGTCTGTTTTCGACGGATAAATTTTTGTTTGATAATAGGATCTGGTTTTACCAAAATGTTTCAGTATTAATTGAATTTTTTTTTTTCGAATTTTTTTTTTTTTTTTTTTTTCCCGCTCTTAGCATGAACATGGTGAAAGGCCGTCTCCTGGGTCGGAACACTTTACGCAGCACGATCATTGGAGTGGTGCCCAAGGAACAGACAGAAGATGCTGTAAGAAAATAGTTTCATCAAATCTATCAGTGGCATTTTCAGTATGACTTGTTTGTGTTTCTGTAAGGCTGAAAGGTTAAAAAAAAAAAAAATGAAAAGAAAAACCAATGTGGATATTTTTAATTAAATTTTTTAAGTTGACTTTTGAGGTTATTTATAGTTTTTTTTTATAAGGTTTTCAAATTGAGTTGCTTATGGCCATATAGTGTTAAAAGATTGGTTCCCATATGATCACTGAAGTTAAGCAACATTGAGTCTGGTCACTACCTAGATGGGTGACCATTTGGAAATACCAGGTGCTGTAAGCTTCAATGTGCGAGTGGTGTGATGGATAATGGCTTGGAATTGTTAATCAGAGAGCCGAGTTCCAATTTCAGTTGGATTTGTTATATTCATTTACTTGTAAATACCCTTGGGAAAGGTATGAATCCACCTCTTTTCCCCCAATTAGTAAGACTTGTATTATGACACCATGATGGTATCAAAGGTTGACTGATGATCTGATTTTTACTTCTAAGGAAGTACCATGAATAAGTTATTTTTACAATTGTTAATGAGTGTTGTTGAAGTTAATTAAGGTTACTGGTGACACCAGTGGCTCTAGTCTTTCAGAGATCTAGCCAGGACAGAGAGGAGTAGAGTGACAGTTCTTCACTGATATTCCTGCGGATACTGAATCACAACCTGGGTGCAGGATTGGTGCTGAGACAGAGATGCACCAAAGTGAGAGTAACATTCAGCAAAGCACCATTACTATTTCTAAAAGAAAAATTCTTACACTCTAACAATATTGCCAGGCTGTAAATAACCTGTATGTAATGGGTTGAGAAGCTGTTAAAAACAAATAAAATTCCGTCTTAATCTCTGGCCAGATTAACTTTTTGGAGAGCAACAATGAGGTTTTAGAGAAAATGGAAACAAAAAAATGAAACTTATACTCAATATCAGGAAGAGGCAGTTGAAATTTCTACAGAAGGATGTTGAGGATACCATGGACTGAACATGCGGGCAACAACGAGGTTTTAGAGGAAATGGAAACATCAGGAAGAGGCAGTTTAAATTTCTGGGGCATGTAATGAGGAAGGAGGGTTTGGAAAATCTGATACTCACAGGACAGATTGAGAGGCAAGCAGTGTGTAATATACTTCATGAGCTTTAGTAAATGGATGGTAGAACAGGGTTTGGGAGAAATAGCAGACAGAAAAACTTATTAAGCATGATAAGGGACAGGAAGATGTGGAGGACGATGATCGCCTATGTCCTGTAGGGACACAGCACATAAAATATGGGTCATTTAATGCTGAAATTTTATTTTCTTGCGAGCATTAGTAATTTTCTTTGCAAAAATGAATTAAGAGTAAATTTTTTTTTTATCCTTTACAAAAATGTATTGCTGGTATTTTTACTATGAAAATTTATTTTTATACTATCATCGTGTTTTGACCCCAGTTTTGGGGTTAACTATTTGCCCATAGATGGGACCCTAACAGGTACTACCACCTTGAGTCAGGGTGGACTTTGGAACAACAGCGATTAAGAGGTGGTTCCATGCTCTTCAAAATCTCCCAATCAGAGGCGTTGTTGCCGGATGTAGTTTAGTCTTAGAATAAATCCTTTCTAGAATGGAGAGTTTTATACCAGCTCAAGCCAAACAGCCAACCCTGGTTCACTCCTGAATGTGCTGCAGCCATAGCTCACTGTAACTACTACTTGAATAGCTGTCACAAGGAGCAGTCTAATTTGACTCTTACTGCATTCATTGCAAGAAAGTTCTGGGAAATGCAAAGTGTAGATATGCACAAGCAGTCCAGACCAAGGTTGAAAACAAACAGTTTGGATCCCAAGAGTTCTAGAAGATCACCAACCAGAAGCGGCTGTGGCCATTGTTATAAATGGCTCCGAGGTAAGGTAATATCTTCCTTGTCAGATTAAGCAAAATTTTTTGCCTCAATCTTGGCCTTGAACTCAAGACATTGAATATGTGGGGAAAATAGAAATGGTTTACCTCCCAAATGCCCTCGAATCTGTCTGGCCTGTGGGTTGAGAAAAGAAAGAAAGGGTCCAAGATGGCGTCCGTGACTTTTTAATATTCACGGTCTCGTGCAGTCTCGCAAGGTCGTGTTACACACATGCTAATGAGGTGTGTCTGGGCTCCATAAAAGCAGGTCTCTTGGAGAAATTGGCAGAAGCCATTACACCCGTGTTTGGTATACATTGCTTTGTGTTGCGTCGTGTCAGACATTTTTATATGGAAAGAGTTGCGTCCCTTACACTCCATATTGAATTTGAATCCTTTGCTACAAGCTATTTCAGCCATTATTACAACATGGACAGATTCGACTTGAAGTTGATACCAGAGTTTGATGGCTCCCCCGCCGGTCGAGTGGTGGGAAAAGGCCGAGCAGGTCTGCCGGCTGTGTAAAGTCAAGGATCCCACGCTGGTCATCCCTCTGAGGCTCACCAAAGGAGCTTACGCTGTATATCAGCAGCTCAGGGATGACGCAGACTTGGCATTTGGTGCGGATCCCTTTTTCGCCTGGAGGCAGTTCACCGAACGGCGGCTTGGGCCAGATGAAACGGTAGATCTCTTTCTGGCCGATTTCAGGAAGCTGGCCGCACCATTCGGTGGAGCAAGCGACCAAATCCTAGGATGCGCCTTTCTGGCAGGACTCCCAGACAATGCCAGTCGACTTCTATGAGCATCGTCAAGGCTCAATGAGCTTGGGCTAGAAGAGTTACTGGCCAGAGCCCGGAATATTCTGAAGGACGACGCGGAGCCGGTCTCAGCAGCTGCGGAAGCACCCGCACCGCCAACTGAGGACACAAGGTGCTATAAATGTGGCGGACTGAACCACTTCTCCAAAGACTGCCGAGGCCGAAGCGGTGTGAAGGATACGCATAACCGAGGAACACGGAGACGTATGCGTTGCTACAGGTGCGACAAGCTGGGCCATGTAGCAAGAAGCTGTCTGGGAAACGGGCAAAGGGGAGTAAGCTACAGCGCCAGCCTTCTCCCCTGCTCAAGCTCTCTAGCTATGGAATTACTGGAAGAGTATTTGCAAGTATAAAGTCCTTTCTAATGGGTAGGTCCCTGAAGCTAGTTGTTAATGGCCAGTACTTCGGGGCTCTAGCAATCAGTGCTTCTCGGACCCACCTTCTTTTTACTTTACATAAATGATCTGCTTAAGAGAGTATACTCTAATTGTTTGTGAATATCTCTGCTGATGATACAACAGTATATGGGTGCACCTCCAAAACTCTAGATGACCAGAAATTTGCAGTTAATCTCTCTTCTAATCTAGCTCTAACGTCTCAGTGGGGGAGGGTGACTGGTTACATTCAGTGCCTCGAAAACTAAACTAGTTACATTCTATCATCACCAATTGGACCCCGAACTGCCACCGGTCATGATGAATGGATGTCCACTTGGGGAGGCCCTGGGCTTTGAGTGACTATTGGGCCTCAACAAACTCGGACTTCAAGTGGAACTTGTATATACAACCCATCACTAAAGATGCAAGAAAAATGGTTGGTTCCCTGTGCCACTCTAGTAAGCACGTGACTCTTCATGCTATCCTCTATCTTTACAAGAGCCAGATCAGGCTGAAAATGAAGTACATATATGTCATATGGGCAGGAGCTACCCAGTCCTCACTTTCTAGTCTTCATAGAGCCCAAAAGTGTCTCTGCGTCCTTGTGGGTGACAAATTATTTTCCACCCTGCAACCCCTGTTTCGCAGATGAGATGTCACAAATCTCTCACTGTATTATTGTTACTTCTATGCAAAGCGCTACATTCCCTAGTTCCACCAGTTCTAGCCTTCATGGCTACAACCTGTCATACTACACACGTTGTAGCAAAATGCCCTCATTTCTTCTGTATTTATTGGTGAGAAGTAAGTTCCAAGCAGCTTCTTCCTGTAAACCACTACTTTCTAAAACTGACTCCCAAGAGGATATTTTCCTGATTACTACAATCTTAACCTGTTTAATTCTAAGGTTAACCATTATCATTAACTGTGCCTCTTTCTCTGTAATCCTCTACCTTGAGTGTCTCTCAGACCTTGTACAGGTTGAATGTTACTGTTAAAAAAAAGTAGTGTCACTATTATTATTTCCATTATTTACATGTGCAGTATTGTCCTCGTCTTTATTGTTATCAGAATGTTTCGGAAGTTGTGCCCTCCAGCCTTCATCAGGTGCATGTTGATCCGAGTAACCTATAGAGACTTTCATAAACATGTAGTAATTATAGGGTGATCAGTTTATTACTTAATAACAATTGAAAATCGATCCCCCATTTTATTTCCAACAGAAATTTTTAACCAAGCTATAAAATCTGATGGCACATTTTGCTGAATTCTGACTATTATTTGGTGATATTGCAAAAAGGTAAGCTATACTAATGGCTACAAAGGACAGGAAGTCAAGGAGAGACATGACTGCTTATATCCTGAAGAGAGACAGATGATGACATAGAAGGAAATGGTTAAGTGTTTAGATGAGCAGTGACTCTAAAATCAAACATGTTCATAAAACAGATGATGATTTACTATATGAAATATACAAAAAAAAAAAAAAAAAATCCCGTTTTTTTTTTTTTTCTTAAAATTTTTTTTTTTTTTTTTCTTAAAATTGAATCTTTTTTTTTTTTTTTCTTAAAATTGAATCTTTTCTTTTTTTTTTCTTTTTTTAGGATGAAGATCTTAATGCAATGCATTCTATTGGTACAGCAGCTGTTGTTGTACAAGTGACTGGCACCAACTGGCCCAAACCTGCCTACACTTTATTGGTGACAGGACTGTGCCGACTAAAAGTGGAGGAATTATTACAAGAAACACCTTACCCTGTTGCAACTGTGACCCAGCTGGATCAGCTGCCAGGCAAAGATTTAGGTGAGATTAACATTTAATACTTGTAAACACACATCAGGTTGTGATGAATGGACTGCTACTTTGATATGTTTTGCTGATGAACTGGTATGATCTTTTCATTCTTGTAAAATAAAATTCTTTTTCTGATGGTGTTAGTTCATTGATAAAACATGGCAAGTAGATATTTTACAAGTTGTCTTATATATATGACAAACTGGAAAGGTTTTTCTAAATACTGTTTGTTGATATATCAAATTATACAAAATTATATATTACCTATTTTCCTGACAAGTTTTAAGAGAAAGATTTTATTGATATCAACTGACAATAGTACTGAATGCCAAATGTTTCCTTATAAGGAAACTGTTAATATTACCATTATAGGAAACCATGTCTATTTTGGATTAGCTTTATTAGTCACTGGCAGCCCTGTAGCAAATATTGAGTCCCCTTCCAGAATCCTTGTTAGTGAGGCTGACTTGTGTTATATATATATATATATATATATATATATATAATTATAGTATATATAATATAATATATAATTATAGTATCTATAAAAGCCCGGTGGCTAGGATCAAAGTGTAGTATAGTATCTGAACTCTCGCTTGAAGAGAGGAACCCGGATGAGCTGTTTCGGGTGTCTGTCGAACTCAGATACCCCTATGGGCTCAGAGATACCCACATTAAAAAGGCCTTGTGCCACATTCGATCCCCGTGGGTGGATTGATAAATACCATATATATATATATATATATATATATATATATATGAATGAGAGAAAGAACAGTTGAAGTAAAATTCTGCTGTTTGTAGCATTTACTTTTGAAAAAATGTCCTCCATACAAAGCAGAGCAATATATTATTATTTTTATTAATAGAGATTATAACAAAAACTTTGCGATTTCAATATGTTTTTCTTATAATAAAAATAACGTTATATATATTTTCTGTTTATACATTATTTTTAGAGATACAAATATTTAAGTAAATGCTCTGTTTATAGTAAACAGTATTAACAACATTTACCGGCCCAAGACTAACAAAACTCCTTGCAACACCAAAGATAAACTGAAGACAAGGATTATGGCTGCATTCACCAACTTAAACAAGGAGACCATCCAGAAGATTTGCTGGAGATTTCGAAGTCATCTGGAGGTTGTGGTTGAAACCAATGGGGATTTCATTGAATAAATTTACTCTTTAGTATTTAAGGATATTTTTGTGTAATTTTGGTAAATATCAATGTTATTTTTATTTTATTTTTTTTTGTGTGTAATTTAGACAATTTATCCATCGCACCTATCAGCAGACACGTCTTATTTGAAATAGACACTCCATTTTTATTTTACTAAACAGTGTGTATTAGTCTATTGACCTGCTAATTCAAAGAATCTTAGTAAAGAAAAGATGCAGGCTGATAGACACTAATATACACACTGTTTAATAAAATAAAAATATGTGTCTTTCAAATAAGAAATATCCAATTACATTTGAAGTAATAAAAATGGATTAAAAATAAATCCACTAATTCTTATATATATATATACATACACACACACACACTCATATATATGAGGTTTCCACTGTTTCATTATTACCCTATAAATCTTTACAAGTTTAATTTGTTATTTTTTTTTCTTTTTACAGATGATAATTTGATGAAAAATAAAGAGCTAAATGAATTGGCAGAGAATTTTCGGGAACAAGCTGTAAAATTAGTAGATTTGCTTGATGTTTCAATCCCTGTTGTGGCTAAACTGAAGGTATTTATTAGAAGAATTTGCTTATGAACTCTTACATATGTGAAATATCTATCTATCTATCTATCTATTTATCAGTTAGTTGATATCTGTAATAGGCAATTAATTTTCAAACCAAATTCTGATATATGTCATAGTCTATTGATATCTATCTTATCTCATCTCCAACATTAATAATCAAAAACAACATTAAATTCTTACATCAGATACACTTGCACCACAAACTCTCAGAGTTCTTAATTTTGGATTGGCGTCTAATTTGGATCACAAATTTTATTACAAGGCAAGGTTCAATCTACAGTCAAGCAAGTGAATGTCAGAACTACTGCCCTTTTAAATTTTCTTTACTATTGCTTTATTTCTTTTTTTTTTCTTTCTCTCTATAGGAGTATATAGGTTTTCCTATCATCTAATTCACATTCCTCTTCAGTCTTTTGAACAGGAGTAGATGCTTATCACTTGTTTGCTGTTTAGGATTAGGTTTCTGGTTCCTCCTAAAGTCTACTTCAGCTCTGTACTTTAATGTCTCCACCTAAACTATGATTATTTTATTTACTTTTTCCTTAATAGGAGTAAGTTTGCCTATTGTCCAGTTCACATGCCTCCCCAGTTTTTTGAACAGGAGTAGATCCTTTGTTTATCTTTTGTTTCCTGTTTAGGATTGGGTTTCTGGTTCCTTCTAAAGTCTTTTCATTCTCTTTCACTCGCAGTGGCCCCTTGCATCTTAGTGACATTATTACCTTGTTTTTTTATTGATTTAAAAAAAAAAAAAAAAAAGGACAAGAAGTTTATTATAATTGTTTTCATTTATGACAAGGGGTCCAGTCTCAGGGTCAATTGTTACTTTAATTTATTGTTAGTTTGACATTCAGGAAGTATTGGACATAAACAAAAAAAAAATGCAGAGTAATTTGTTTCTGATATTGTTTTATGTTTAGTTTTTTCTTAAAATTCCTTCACCACTTTTTAAAACAATAAACATTGCCGAGGAGTGAAGGTAGTTAAAATAATAGTGGTTTCCTTTTGACACTTCGATTTTTTTTTTTTTTTTTTTTTTTTTTGTGTGAAAGTTCAAGTTTGCCAATTTCAAGCCATTAATGGCTAAGTGGTTTTTTTTTTTACTTGACAGCCAAACAATTATATCCCTTAAAAACTGAATATTTAAACACAAATATCTATCTCAAATATCTGTCTCAAATATCTGATTCAAAGCTGTGAGAAAACTACTTTAAAAAATTGTTAACATCATGCTGAAGCTTATATATTGTGAAATTGTGATTTTGATATACCTAACGGTCTGAATTTGATTTTCCAAGTGGTACAGTAAGTACTTTAATTAAAAAATGTTTTTTATTTTGCATTGTTACAGAAAATGTTGGATCAGCTTCCCAGTCAGCACCTTCCGGACATTTGTGCAGCAATTGTAAAAGCCTCTTACTCAGAAAAGATGCAAGTTCTTGATGCAGTTGACCTTTCCGACAGATTCAAGCGTGCATTGCCTTTATTAATGAGACAAGTTGAGGTAAGAATTCCTGGTTTCTTTTGACCTTTGAGATATTTGTTGAATAAAACTAAATCTAGCTTAAGACAACATTCAGGGAGTACTCAGTGGCAAATGAATTCCTAGCCAGTTGCTTGTGAAATGTGTATGTCACCTGTCCCTCAATAATGACTGTTTTAAGCCAAGAAATCTGTAATTCAAACAAAATGTAAAAGTGTAGAAAATAAATTGAATAAATGCTATAGGGATACAAAAGTCAATTATCTCCCTTTGATGATGTGATGGAAGCTTAGTGACATCATTTCATACAGTGATGAAAGTGGCAGTCAATAAGTCAGTTTTCTGGAGACAAGACACATGAGTTGTTCATCCTGCTTGGGTTTTCTGCCCTGGCCAGTCAGCTGCCATGTGGTGCAGCTTACAAGTCCATGGTGCCATTTACCTTTGGGAATATGGCTTCTCCAGAAAAACAGAAGAATTTCCATATTATATGCAAGAACCTGTCTTTTGATTATCCTTTCACTCTGCTTGCTGTGTAGATATATGCCATACTTTCTCTGTGTGGGATATATATATATATATATATATATATATATATAATGACAGACTTAGCATCATAATTCTCTCTCAGAGAATAGATCATGTTTGTCTTTCCTCTTTCTTTCAGCTATTTCATTCTGTCTTAGAATTGTAGAAAAATACTTATAAAAAAAAGTCATTTTTTTGTGCACTGACAGGCTCTAAATATTTGAATTTTTGTATTCATATATATATTAACCAATCAGCAATATCATATGAGATGTGCGTTATTCTTTGAATTGACAGACGATAAAAATTTCTTAGAATGAAATTTTGGAGGTTCACTTAATAATATGATCAACAATATTTTCCCTCCTTAAAAGTGATATTTAAAAATAGGGAAAATATTTACCAACCAATAAGCTTGAGATTTATAATTCTCATTTTTGGGAGCCGATTATTTTATTATAAATATGATTAAAGGTAATGCGACTGTAGTGATGGACAAACCGGACTATACAAGAAAACTGGAAGACCTCATTAGCAATGGTAGCTCAGCATAGTGAAGAAAGATCCTACTATGAAAACGGAACATAAACTGTCACAGATCCTAATCAGAACAAGGATCACCGCACCCAAGGCGTATAGGCAGTTATCTTGGCGTTACAGCAAGTTACCTCACATATACGGTCTCCCTAAGATGTGTATTCCACTCAGGCCGATTGTTAGTTATATAAGGCTCTGTGTGCCACCCTCTGAGTCCCTTCCTTGTAGATATAATTGACCCATTGATATATGTCCGAAACTCCGCCACTTTGGAAATAATCAAAGATGCTCCCATTCTATCCAACCAGATGGTGAGCTTGGACGGGTGAGAGTCTGTTCACCAAATACCCACGGAGGAGAGCACTCTCAGTAGTCAGAGATAGATTAACCTCTGACTCTTCCCTAGAGGAGCGGACCAGTATTCCAATAGATAATCTGATGGAGATGTTGACTTTCTGTACACAAACAACACACTTGAATGGGATCTCACATATATCTTTCAGGATGAGGGCTTAGCAATGGGCTCGCCATTATCACCAGCAATGGCGAATATATACATGGAATACTTTTGAAGAAATGGCATTAGAGTCTATATAAAAGCCAACTATATGGTTCTGCACGTAGATGACACTTTCATACTCTGCCACATCAGGAAGAAGTCCAGGTTCTTCTGGACCATGTGAACTCAATAAGACCTTTACAGTTCACAATGGAGAAAGAGAGTTAACAACTCACTCCCATTCCTGGATGTACTAATATCTCGAACAGAGAATGGGTTCAAGACATCCGTATACCGTAAACCAACATTCACCGGACAGTACCTCAATTTCAACTCCCACCATCCATACAGCGTAAAGAAAGGGATCGTCCGATGCTTACAATATCGAGCAAAAAGTCATAAGTGGCGATCCAGAGACGTTGTGAATTGGTCAGTATAAGTAGTACCCTACAAACGCAACAACTACCCTGGGTACATGGCAGCAGCCCCAAAAACTGGGATAGGCGGGTACAAGAGGAGGAGGAGGAGGAGGACAACAACACTCAGAAAACAGTCTGCCTGCCTTATGTGAAGGGGTTATCAGAGAAAATACAAAAGATCTGCGGTCCATATAACATCAGGACAACCTTTCAGGTATCTCTCACGAGTGAGACCCCCATAGAGAGGAACATGACTAAAAGACTGTGTACGCTATCCCATGCAGCTGCGGAAAGGAATATAAAGGAGAGACAGGCCGCCCCCTCAAGGTAAGGCTTCAAGAACACCAGAAAAAATAGAAAAATCAGGCGTGGCTGACCACATATGAGAGAAGGAGATCACCGCCCCTGTGGGATCATGTTGAGATCATAGACAGGGAACACCATTGGAAAATTCGTAAACAAGGAATCAGCACATATGCTAGGCCACAAAAATCTCCTGAGCCGACCAAGCATAGAAATAAATACAATTTTGCCAGAGAAAAGCAATGATAACAAAGTTGCAATATGAACTTTATGGTAAAGACATGCAATGATAACAGTAAAAATGAAAACATTAGGTTTATAATACTCAAGTTCATACCCAGATGTCCTCAAGGACACATGGCACAGTGGATAAAGGCGTTGGTTAGATCCAGTGACAGACCCAAAAAGGTGAGTTGAAAGGCAGTGGAGAACTTTTCAGAGGAAAATTAGCAGGAGATAACTGACATCCATCAAACATGGCACGTGGAATTAGAACAGTCTACCCCAGCGAAAATAAAGGGTTCAGTTCGAAATTCCAACCACCTGAAGAAGGCGGGAGCGCAACGGCGAAACGTTGTGACAAATATGGCGACAAAGATGAGGACAATAGTCCGACTAATGTAAATACTGTACATAATACCTCATCTCAGAAATATAGACAAACTATGATTAATTCTTGTTCACTACTAGTCTTTCAGTGAAATTTGACTAGGGTGTTATACAAACAAAAACTGAAATTCTCACACTTCATTAATTACTCACATTTTTCACATATTTATTTGAGTATATAATATTACAAAAAATGCTTAGTGATACTGACACATAGAAGGAAAACATACAGACTAAGTTTGTTTACATGTATCAACAGATAGGAGCTAGCTTCCCTTGCCTTTTTCATGTAATCAACTGCTGTAAATTTATACACACAGAGGAAACAATGTAAATGTGTGTCATGTACATCCGCACATATGTAGACACATTTTTTGTTTTGGCTATACTAATGCAATTCATTCACTTGTACTGTAAAAAAAAAAAAAAGATACACAAAATATTTTGTGAAGTTGTTTGCAAAGAATCTTTGAAATTCATTTCTTTCAATTTGGAAGAAAAATAATAGTAAAATAAATAAAAATTATTGAAATGTGTAGATCCGTGTTTGAAGATTAATTTAATTCTTTGTTTCGACATGCATATTTTCCCATACAGTTCATCACTGAAAATGTTGGAAAAATGATCAGTTCCCTGTACCACTCTAGTAAGTCCCTGACTCCTCCTGCTATCTTCTACCTTTACAAGTGCCAGATCAGACCAAAAATGAAGTACTATTGCCATAGATGGGCAGAAGCTGCCGAGTCTTCATATTCCAGTTTTGATAGTCTAAAAAATTATCTCTGTTTCCTTGTGGGTGACAAATTATTTTCCATCTTACAACCTCGTTCTCACAGATGAAGAGTCACAAACCTGTTTATTGCTATTTCTATGGAAAGTGCTTAGATGAACAATATTCCTTAGTTCCACCAGTTCTAACCTTCATGATTAAGACCCGCCATGCTACCCACATTGTAGTGAAGCAAATTTGTTAGCCTTTGTATTCCATCCGAGCAGCTTCTCCCCATGAACCATTGCTCTTTGGAACTCTCAAGAGGATGCTTCCCTGATTGCTACAATGTTAAGCAGTTAAAGACTAGTGTTAACCGTTATCTTTCCCACATATCTGCATAAAATGTGCCTCTTACTCAGTCACCCTCTACCTTGAGTGGCTCCAGGGCCTTGTACAGGGTGAATATCATTACAAAAAAAAAAAAATGAAAAACTTCATAATGAAAATAGTTGACGAAATATTTTTAGAATTTAAGGGCAGTAACTCTCTCCTTTTTTTATTATTCTAAGGGAGATAACCTAGATTTTTTTTTTATTTTTTATTTTTTTTGAAGAGAAATGATTATAATAGACTCGAACCGAATACTTATAAAATAAAATAAGCTGTATCGGTTCGGATGAAGCGTTTTATATAGGTACCTCCATGAAATCTCTAAAAAAAGAGCATAGCATGAATAAAAAGAGCCTTAAACTTGATGAAAATAATTTTTTATTGTCTGAATGTTTGTTCTTATTAAGAGGAAAGATCAAAGTATTTTTAGGATATTTTTTTACATTTCTTAATCGTTCCTAGCACGTCTGAAGTTTTTGTTAAAACTCTTGTTTTTTTTTTTGTTTTTTTTTTTTTGAGTAGGCAAAATTAACAGATAATCAATTATGTCAACCATTTTTTTCCATTTTATAAAAAAAATGAAAATCTCAGTTTCAAATTCTTTTAAAAATATAATTTTTTCAAAATTCATTTTAAGAAAAATAGAAATTATAAAGTTTATTTAACACTAGCAGTAGAGCCCGGCGTTGCCCGGGGATGTAACAATAGGCGATAGATCAAGTATGGACGATCATAAAGACTGAAAAATAAAAATGACAAAGATTATTGTTTAAGGTTGACGGACACGCATGTCTTAATTAGTTTTTTTTTTTTTTTTTTTACGAATTGGTCAAACCCAAATTCAAACGAAAACATTGTTTACAATCGTTATGATTTATGGAAATAATACAGTAATTCCATCTACGTTTTAAATTAAAGTTTTCCTCCCTTCCTTCCACACTTGTGCTTGTGTGTGCGCGCATCCAATGATTACACCCCTTTCCTTACACGTTAAGCTAAATATAGTAGTAAACCTTTTCTTTAG